TCAATTGTGGAAAGACTTGGTACATAGCAAACAGATTTTCAATAAAAAAAAATAATTTCAGTGTAGAAACACTAACCCTTGGCCTAGGCCCCAGAGCAGACAAGCATCAAAAGAAGAAACACAAGAAATTCTTTAAAATAAGAAGTAAAAGCTCTCCTAATAAGAGACTTTGCATGCTTGGGAATCTTAGAACAGGCCCTAAATCACGTGCAAGACTTATGATCGAAGAGATTTATGCTTTGGCCTTTTTTAAACACTGGGTCACAAGTAACTCAAGCCTTTCTATTCTTTTATGATAAACACTTGAGTCACTTGCCAATATCACCGGTAGATGATGTGAAATTGTGGGAATTTGGAATCTCAGGCTTACTCTGTTGAAGGGTTAAAGTTCAAATCATGATACCTCAATCAGATACTGTTATAGCATATCCCATGAATGTGTAAGTCTTGGTGTCCCTGAATCTAGGACATTTTGGGATTCCCATAATATTGGGAACTACTACTCAGATAGTGCGGGATGTGCTTCGGGCCTACTTAAGAGGAGTTGGCAATTGTTCTTTAAATCAGTTGGCAAAACTAGAATCTGCTCTGAGGGATGAATGTTATCAATTTACATTGCAATCTAGAACCGATGAGTTCCATTGGGACCCACAGCCAGTTGTTCTTCAGCTGGAGAAATTATGTCTGTTACTGCATTAGCAGTCTTAAAGGAAGTCATGATGTCTGTAGATTGTCTGTTTTGCCTAGAGTCACTTCCAGAGGAAGATTCCTGTAAAGGATGGATGATTATGGCAGAAGTAAAATACTGTAGAAACAGGAAAACTGATGTGTTTGGTGCAACTGTCTACAATAGATTGCCAATAGAAGTCTGCATAACTCACTGTCAGAAACTATGGGTTTTAGGGAGAGATATCCATTAGATCCGACCATGACTCTAGAAATTAAAGGAGAGGCCTATAAAGAACTGAATTTTGACCTGAAAGGTTACAACTTGACAGTAGAATGGAAAAAAAAAGATTATTGCAAGCTCTCCACTCTTGAGAGGGAAATTTCTCCACAGGAGATAAAGATGTAGGGTGTGCTAAATGTGCCATTCAGCTTTGTGACCCTACTCCTTTTCGAAAAAGATCTAGAAGAATAGCTCCGCAAGGCGTTGAATATGTGAGAAATATATTTCATGAAGTGGAGGAAGCTGGGATCATTGAAGAGTCCATATGCCTCATCTATAGTGGTGGTGAGAAAAATTAATGGTTCAGTAAGATTATGCATGAAAAGCAGTTATTCAAAAATACTAGACCGTTTGCAGAAAGAAGGCCTACAATTGTCAATGGATAAGTGTAAATCTTCTCAGAATTCAGTAACATATGTTTGATACATTGTGTCAGCTGATGGTGTAGCCATGGGACTTTCCAAGATCGAAGCAGTTTTCAACTGGCCTATGCCAAACAAAATTGAAGAGTTGCATTCATTTTCGGAGTTCTGTGGTTATTATCGTCGTTCTGTCTCTTACTCTAAGATAGCACAAAGCCTTTATGATCTTCTGAAAGTAGAACACTGCAGACTATATAGTGAAGAGGGGGCCAGCAAACTCCATCTTCAGTTTCAGGCAGCTCCCCTCTCCAACTCTCGTGAACCCCAACCGTCAGAGCTTATCCGCGGGTTACCATGGCAAAGCTCTGTGTGAGCATGCAAGCTGGGCTCATGAGAGTTAGCTAGAGGAGCTGCTGAAAACTGATGGCGTTGAGGGGCCCCTGTTTACTATACAGCACCTAGAAACTTGCACAATGCCACCGGACCACTAGACTGCCCCCCTTTCTGACCACAGGTAAGAGGCATGAAGAGGGGAATAAAATTAAATTTATTAAAATGCATTTAAAAAAAGGAAGCTTTTTCCCTACAGATTGTGGCTCTTATCCTTCCCCACTTAAACACGCACTACCTCCACTACACAAATGCACACTGCATACATAAACACACACTCGGCAATCCCTATACATACACAGCATCCATTACGCAAACACACTCTGCATTCACTATAAACACTGCATCTACTACACAAACACACATTATTTGTCCTTTGCATAAACTGCATACATTACACACTACATCTACTACACAAACACAATACGCATCCACTACATCCACTGCATCCATGACACAAACTTACAATCTACATTCACTATACAAACACAGACTCTGCATGCACTATACACACTGTATCCTCTACACACACATACTGCATTTACTACACACACTGCATCCACTGCATCCACACACACTCCTTACCAACTACACATCCTCCGTATCTACAACACATACACTCTAAATCCACTATACACACACTCTGCATCCACTATACACATACTCTACCTTTGGGATAGCTGGAGTGGATTCTTTACCTGGATTCCAGTGTAGGTGCTGGGCTGATTGGGTGGCTGCGCAGGCTCTTAGACTGATGTGCACAGCGAGCTGTAATCTTCCTGCTCAGCTTTCTTACGCGCCGCTTAGTGATGCCAGGAGCCAGAGTGACGTCAGGGAGCTGAGCAGACAGCTCAGAGGAAAGCTCTCCCTCACTGTCCATCCATAATATTACAGGGAGTGCAGAATTATTAGGCAAATGAGTATTTTGATCACATCATCCTCTTTATGCATGTTGTCTTACTCCAAGCTGTATAGGCTCGAAAGCCTACTACCAATTAAGCATATTAGGTGATGTGCATCTCTGTAATGAGAAGGGGTGTGGTCTAATGATATCAACACCCTATATCAGGTGTGCATAATTATTAGGCAACTTCCTTTCCTTTGGCAAAATGGGTCAAAAGAAGGACTTGACAGGCTTAGAAAAGTCAAAAATAGTGAGATATCTTGCAGAGGGATGCAGCACTCTTAAAATTGCAAAGCTTCTGAAGCGTGATCATCGAACAATCAAGAGTTTCATTCAAAATAGTCAACAGGGTCGCAAGAAGCGTGTGGAAAAACCAAGGCGCAAAATAACTGCCCATGAACTGAGAAAAGTAAAGCGTGCAGCTGCCACGATGCCACTTGCCACCAGTTTGGCCATATTTCAGAGCTGCAACATCACTGGAGTGCCCAAAAGCACAAGGTGTGCAATACTCAGAGACATGGCCAAGGTAAGAAAGGCTGAAAGACGACCACCACTGAACAAGACACACAAGCTGAAGCGTCAAGACTGGGCCAAGAAATATCTCAAGACTGATTTTTCTAGGGTTTTATGGACTGATGAAATGAGAGTGAGTCTTGATGGGCCAGATGGATGGGCCCGTGGCTGGATTGGTAAAGGGCAGAGAGCTCCGGTCCGACTCAGACGCCAGCAAGGTGGAGGTGGAGTACTGGTTTGGGCTGGTATCATCAAAGATGAGCTTGTGGGGCCTTTTTGGGTTGAGGATGGAGTCAAGCTCAACTCCCAGGCCTACTGCCAGTTCCTGGAAGACACCTTCTTCAAGCAGTGGTACAGGAAGAAGTCTGCATCCTTCAAGAAAAACATGATTTTCATGCAGGACAATGCTCCATCACACGCGTCCAAGTACTCCACAGCGTGGCTGGCAAGAAAGGGTATAAAAGAAGAAAATCTAATGACATGGCCTCCTTGTTCACCTGATCTGAACCTCATTGAGAACCTGTGGTCCATCATCAAATGTGAGATTTACAAGGAGGGAAAACAGTACACCTCTCTGAACAGTGTCTGGGAGGCTGTGGTTGCTGCTGCACGCAATGTTGATGGTGAACAGATCAAAACACTGACAGAATCCATGGATGGCAGGCTTTTGAGTGTCCTTGCAAAGAAAGGTGGCTATATTGGTCACTGATTTGTTTTTGTTTTGTTTTTGAATGTCAGAAATGTATATTTGTGAATGTTGAGATGTTATATTGGTTTCACTGGTAATAATAAATAATTGAAATGGGTGTATATTTGTTTTTTGTTAAGTTGCCTAATAATTATGCACAGTAATAGTCACCTGCACACACAGATATCCCCCAAACATAGCTATAACTAAAAACAAACTAAAAGCTACTTCCAAAAATATTCAGCTTTGATATTAATGAGTTTTTTGGGTTCATTGAGAACATGGTTGTTGTTCAATAATAAAATTAATCCTCAAAAATACAACTTGCCTAATAATTCTGCACTCCCTGTAGTAGCCACCTGTCTCGGTGGGCCAGACAGCCAGCTGTTAAGCCCCCCCATGAAAAAGGCTAACAAGGCATGTGCCAGGGCACATAGGGCTGCATTTTTTGTCACCCCCCTTAAAGTGCCACTCAAGGCAAATGCCTTGTTAGCGTCGTGGAAGATACAGCTCTGGCTGTATGCTGAGTATATACAGACTGTGTCTGTGGTGCTGCAGAAACCACACAGGACTGAGACATTACAGCAGCAGAGTTTATCATAGGTTAGCTATTAGTTTGCACTGTTTATGTTCATTTGCATTTGTGTGTTTATGGTAACTCAGTATATTATCTGTTTTAAATTTACCCTCTTTGTTTAAGAGTGGTTATTTAGAATGGGATTCTAATCTACTCAGTGGGGTGGGTTTCTTCGTATGCAGAATCACTGAGTGAAGGCACTGATTACAGCACGATGTTCCAAATCTCCAGATTTTGGTGGAAACTTACACTCACTGTTAGCGTTAAAGTTGAATGTAGCTGATGCTAATACTCTCCTTCCTCCAAATGCAGGTAAGGAAGGAGTTACATTCTATAATTATCTATCAATCTGTAAATCTGTCTATCTGTCTGTCTATCAAGTTTTATTTGCAGGTGGTGATAGAAGAATAGTAGATGAGAACAAACTGATAGACTGATACTTGTACGTGCTTAGAAATAAATGCACTTATGTTTTTTACTGATGTAAGTATATTGATGTAAGGCTCATTAGAGGGCCTACCTGCTTTTTGCAGTACTAAGTGTTAATGCTGTTCTGTGCAGGGGGAGAGAAGCTGGAATAATTTATTGACCTTTCAGGACTTTCAGCAGCCACACTCCCTCCCCTTCCCTCAGCCTCCCTCCCCCTCTCTCACTGCCTTTCACAGCCTGCGTTTGCTTTCGGAGAGATGTGGTAACACATCGTTACAGGGAACCAAGTTTGCGGCTGAGGGACGGAGCCTTGCTGTGTGGACCTCCCGCCGTCACAGCACCTGCTGCCAGGACTGCCTCATACACCTTGCCCGGACCGCTCACTACTTGCTCGGCATTGAGAGCGCTCCTCTGACAACTTCTCCCCCGGCTACAAGTTTCTGTGCCCGAGCTGGGAATCTCCTCCCGGGCTGCTTTGTGAGCTCTGACATTGGCTGGACGTCCCAGTACCTGCGTCCCCAGGTTATTACCTAGACCAGCCCGCGGGAGGGCAGTGTGCCAGCCGAGAGCCCGGCCAGAGAGGCAGCTGATTCCGGGGCAGGAGCCACAAGTGCCCCCTTTCCCTCCTACCCTTACAGTCAGGCAGTCCGGGCATCTCCTCCAGCAGGACTATGGCAGCCGGTGCAGGGACCCTGCTGACAGTGTGCTTGCTGTGTGCGGCCACCCTGAGGACAGGTATGGATCATCCTGGACATGTTACAGCTTCTCACTGCCTGTGTGTGCTGGACAGGGGCTACTGCTGGCTTACTAGGTTTTCTAGATTATTTGTGTTTGATTTACATTTATTAGAATAACAGAATGAAGTCTGGCACAGCATTGTAGGAGTTGCAGTTCCTCAATGGTTGAAGATCTAGCCTTGGCCAGCCTGGATTACATGTTTTACATGTCCTGGGGAAGTATCATGTGTATGTAAGCAGGTTGTATGTGCACCTAGTGCAGGGATCTGATTGCTACACAGCAGGTGTATATACTACAGGCAGGGCATGCTGGCATGTTCGAAATGGAGAGAGTGTTGTAGCTACTATATTCTAGATATTATATAGCTCGATGGGATGAAGTATCACGATTTAAGGATTATACAAGGTTTAAGTGGGTTATGTACTAAACTGTGATTTGTGCTGAATTAAAATGCCACATGTATGCAATTCATAATGAAATTAGCGTTTGATTTGATTTACAGTTCACCCATGAGTATGAGCACGCTCTTCAGTTGGTGAATTAACCAGCTATACTATCTCATTTACCTATTTTACCTTTATTATCACTATAACAGAATTTGCCTGATATTGAATAAGGTCTTGTAGCATTTTTTCCCCCCAGAAAATAAGCATATGTATTTTCCACATTCTAGGCATTGATTTTTTTTATTTTATTTTTTTGTCACTACTATACACATCATGTGTTTGAAATTGTTGATTGTCCATTGGGTTTCTTAGAGTTCACAGCACACTGGGCTGTCTGTTTTGGAGCCCTGTTTCTTTCTGATGCTGGTTCTTTTGGGTTATGTGATTTAGTCTGTGGCCTCATCTTCATCAGGCTGCACAGGACAGATGGTTAAATCTCCCTTGTACATTCGCCCTCCTACACCAGTGTAGTAAGTGGTATTGCACAGGGCACACAATCTGTTGGAAGGGGTGGCTGTTGAATTAGTGCTCAAGCCTCAAAGTACTCTCCTACAGATTTTAGGCAGCAGGTATGGTTTTACTCAATCTACATGAGAAGGCGTCTCAGCATGCCTTAGAAAGAGTCAATATGCCTAGCCTTTGTTCTACAACTGTTACCCGAATTTAATCCATTCCACCCCCATTCACCCTACAGGGGAATCCATTGTCAGTGCATACTGGTATTATCGGTGCACAGATAAACCTGCTCTGTTTAAATAGTTAATAATAGCCATTGTGTATATAGGAGTATTGCACTTGTGGATCACCTTCCTCGTTCCTAATGTTGGTATGAGGGCTCTGGGTTGCTATCTTGAGTTTATATCTATGTACACTAAGTGACAAAAACCTGCGGGTCATTCCTCATGCAGAGATCTAACTCTTTAAGATAAATTCCTTATCCACTTCCTCTGTCACTAGAACAACATTGAGCTGCAAAACGAATCTCATCCCATTATTCCCCATTGCAAGTGATTGCTGCTTGTGTTACTCTGTGAGGCTGTGAAATCCTTTCTATGAGTACTGATTGGCTCTGATAGATCTGCTGGAACTAAGTAGACTGAGTACTGTGAGAGAAGGACTAAATTGGTTTGCTGTCAGCACCATCTATGTGAAAATTGTTACAGTTATGCTTTTGTCCTGGTTGTGAGACACCAGAAACCTTAGTTCTATTGTCAAAACCAATATTGGCACTTTTGATTGACTTGCATCTGGTTTAAGGGAAACTGGACAAAACCTGTACTGTGAGCCCACAGAAACCGAATGCTAGAATGGCTGTTAAGTCTTTGATACAGTTTGAACTTCTTTGAGAATTCTGCTGGTATGTATGTTTATAGACTCCCTCCCCCACAGACTAACTGACCTGTGACTAAAAAAATGCTCTAAGCACCACCCGAGGTATTTACTCTTCTTTTCTCTTCTGCCACGAGATTGTTCAAACAAAAGGGCAGTGGAAACAAAAACTGTCTCCCAGAGTAGTTTTTCTGGTTTAGTTAATAGTACCTGAAGCTATGCTGTAAATTACATTTCAGTGCCCCATGCTTGCGTGTTAGATTACCCAAGGAAGTTTTCAAAATCTGACTTAAATACCAAATATTTATTTTTTTTAAATGTATTTGTATTTTACTTTTAAAGTGTAATTCCACTACCATTGCAGTATAATTCCAGCAATTACGTACATGTTGCAAGGCTTATTCAAGATCTCCTCTATTTGTGTCTTGTCAAATTTTATTTTGGTAACTAAAGAGAATAGAAGCCTGTGTATTCCTTAAAAGGGAGTGGCTGCGTCCTGAGATAACAGGCTGACTGAAAAATTCTATACCCCCCTCCTTCT